ATGCAAAACTTACGCACTTCAATAACGAGGGAGGAAAAAGGACAAGAGGGACAGAAAAAGCATTTCCAAATTTAATTATTATTAGGCACTCTGATTAGGCTTCATGGAACCCTCTTTTGATCAGGACCTTCTAGCAATATATAGAAAATAAACCAAGAATTAGCTCAACTGTTTTTTTTTTCCTGAAGGAATTGCTACTTAGGAGTATTGTTTACAAGTTTTATTTATTTGACAAAAAGTGTTCCAGCTACATCTGGAATCAAGTATCTGCCCACTTCAGACATTACAAAAAATGACATATATTATCTTTTACATACTTTTGGGATGTTAATCCTCAAAATGTGTTAAACAGTGAAGATGTTACCACATACAAAAATATAATATGAAGAGATTTTTGTGCTCCAAAAATTATGAAGACCAAATAGGATGTTGCTTATTCAAGATCAGACATTTTTTTAGTATTATACATGACTTGTCAAAAATTCTGATCCTTCAACACACAACATGTATTTTTTTCTTAGGCTACAGGTGAGTTTGAGCTCCACCTAGCTCTTTCCTGGAGGTTACTGGGTTTTTTTAGCATCCAGGGATTTTGCACATTAAGTGAACAGCGCAAGACCAACCAAACTTAACATAGTCCCTTAGCATTATTTCTCCTTTCTCTGCCTTCTAATACAGATTCATGTTAGTTTATTAATTTAATTCCCACTTTACTTGAGGTTATTTGTCTTTGATAGAGACTGGTGGACAGAAAGTTTATGCTAGTGCTGGTTTATTCTCCTATGAAAAGTTTGGTTTCTGTTTGAGGGGTAGGAATTTTTTTTCTTCTTTGGTCATCTTTTTACATTTTATTCATTTTCTTTGCTCTCAAATTCAATTCCCTTACCGCAATCTTTGTGAAGAAGCTTTGTTCTCGGCTCTTATCTACATCTTCCAAGATCATTACAACTGTAGTGGTGACTCATCAGGCAAAATTCAGTTTGCAGCATAATAAAGTCTTGAGCCGGTAACTACTTCATCCCCGAAAGCAATTTAGCTTTGAACTGGCATGGGGAGGTGGCAAGACAAACATATTCTGTATCAGGCAAACTCTGGGCATCATCCTCATGTTCAACTACAGAAGAAATCATAGTAATATGGCCTGAAGGTGATAAATTAATTTTGGCTAGGTTCCTGTCTGGGAGGAAAGAACAATTTTCCTAATGAGATAAAGATGAAAGACGACAAGGACCTTTAGACAACTGGAATTTTGGTCTGAGAGAGGCCCTAATAAATCAGGTTGTGCTGCTCTTTGTTTAAGAAAATATCTGTTAGATTGGGGGCCTGTTTATTTTTCTCTGACAAACCTGATTTTGTTGGTAGTGCACAAACTCAGAATCATAACTTGAAATGAGAATAAAAGCAGGTGGTCAAGTACAAGTTTCAATTTTTTTGTCATCTAAAATGACAAATCCCAACTGATGGGACTCAATTTCCAGAGATCTGCTGCCTGGAAACTCGCATTTCCATACCCAAAGTATCCATACCAAAATGAGCAGTTTTGCTTGGAAAACTTGCACTAGAAAAACTAGAAAACACCAATATTCTCACAAATATGCACATGAAGTACCAAGAGGCCAGGTGGGAGAGATCCAAAATCCCATGGAAGCAGCAACTACAGAATACACAGCCCCTTCACACAGTTGTTGCGGGGGGGCAGCAGGCCACACGCTCCACAGACTTTGAGAAAGCTCATCTTCTGAGCAGCAGATTTAATACATGGCCACCTCATCATCCTGTAGCACCACCACTGCTGATAGCAGTGCCACTGCCACTCAGCCCAGTGTTCCTCTGCCACAGCCCCATTACAAAAGCTACAGCCTTTGTCAGGCAGGTTCTGCTTCGCCAGTCTCTCACTGAGATCTCTCAGAAAAAACTCCCAGAAACAAGAAAGAAATTAATGTTTCTCAGGTATTGCCTTTCAAGTAGAGCTGTTTGAGACCTCTGGCTATCTTAAACTGAAAGAGAGGCCCTATCCCAAGTCAATCAAAACTCAGGCTTCTGTGGAAGCAGTAGGCCCAGATGGATTCCTCCCCCAAGCTCCGCATTCCT